CAACAGTCTGAGGAATTTGTGGAACAACAAAAAGTCTAATATTCAAGCTATTGGAGTCCAAGAAAGAGAAGAGTGTGGGGCAGAAAAAGTATTTGAGGCTGGGTGAAGCCAGTGGCTCAAGCCTGTAATTTCGGCACTACGGGGGAGCCAAGACGGGAGGATCATCTGAGCCCATGAGTTTGAGACCAGCCTAGGCAACATAAGGAGATCCTGTCTCTAAAAAATAAAAAATAAATAAATAAAAAATTTAAAAGCTAGGTGTGGTGGCATTTGCCTGTGGTCTCAGCTACTTGGGAGGTTGAGGTGGGAGGATTGCTTGAGCTCAGGAGGTCAAGTCTGCAGTGAGCTGTGATTGTGCCACTGCACTACAGCCTGGGTGACAGAGAAAGACACTGTCTCAAAAAAATATACATATTTAAAGCAATAATGGCCCCAAACTTTCCAAGTTAGGTAAAGACATAAAGTCAAGAAGATGGGCAAACCCCCAATAGGATAAAGCCAAAGAAATCCACATCCAGACACACAATCAAATTGCTGAAAACTAAAGGCAAAATAAAATATCTTGAAAGCAGTGAGAGAAAAATGGCTCATTACCTGCAGGAGAACAGTGATTTCAATGACTATGGATTTCTCATCACAAACCGTGAAGGTCAGCGCTATGGTTTTAGCATCCCCACCAAAACTCACGTTGAAACCTTAGTTTCCAGTGCAGCAATGTTGGCAGAGGGTACCTTTAAGAGATGATTAGGTTGTTAAGATACATTAATGTCTTTCTCGTGAGACTAGATTAGTTCTTATGGATTATTTCTCTGAAATGGATTAGTTCCTATGAGAGCAGGTTGTTATAAAGTGAGGTTGTCTCTTGTGTTTGGTTTCTCTGCAGGCACCTGCTGCCCCTTTGGCTTCTCTGCCATGTTGTGGTGCAGCATGAGGCCCTCACCAGAAGTTGAGCAGATGCCAGCACCATGCTGTTAACCTTTCCAGCCACCAGAGTTGTGAGTAAAATAAACCTCTTTCTTCGTAAGTTTACCCAGACCCAGGTATTCTATGATAGCAATACAAAACAGACTCTGATAGACAGAAGGAAATGACACATTTTTAAAGTGCTGAAAGGCTGAAAGAAAAGAACTATTGACCCTGAATTGCACATCCAGTGAAAATAGCCTTCATGTGAAATAAAGATATTCTCATATGAAGGAGTGAAATAAAGACATTCTCATATGAAAGAAAAGAAAACTAAGGGAATTCATAGCCAGGATACCTATTCTAAAAGAATTGCTAAAGGATACCTGTTCTAAAAGAATTGCTAAAGGAAGTTCCTTTTTTTTTTTTTTTGATCAAGTTGCCCAGGCTGGAATGCAGTGGTGTGATCTCGGTTCACTGCAACCTCCACTTCCCTCCACTTCCCGGGTTCAGGCCATTCTCTTGCCTCAGCCTCCTGAGTAGCTGGGATTACAGGCGCCCACCATGATGCCTGGCTAATTTTTGTATTTTTAGTAGAGACAGGGTTTCACCATCTTGGCCAGGCTGGTCTTCAACTCCTGACCTCAGGTGATACGACTGCCTCAGGCTCCCAAACTGCTGGGATTACAGGCGAGAGCCACCGTTCCCAGCCAGGAAGTTCTTTATAAAAAGGATACAAGAAGGAAACTTGGAACATCAGGAATGAAGGAAGAAGAACGGGAATGGTAAACATCTTGGTAAATATAATGGACTATTCTCCTTTTTAGTTCTTTAAAACATGCTTGACTGTTCAAAGCAAAAAAATTTAACATTGATGAGTTTTCAATGTATACAGAATATATAATACACTTGTAACATGAAGTAGAAAGGCTCATGCCTGTAATCCCAACATTTTGGGAGACTGAGGTCAGGAGTTCGAGACCAGCCTGGTCAACATGGTGAAACCCCGTCTCTACTAAAAATACAAAAATTAGTTGTGCGCGGTGGCGGGCACCTGTAATCCCAGCTACTCAGGAGGCTGAGGTGGGAGAATCACTTGAACCTGGGAGGTGGAGATTGAAGTGAGCCGAGATCATACCACTGCACCCCAGCCTGGGCAACAGAGTGAGAGACTCCATCTCAAAATAAAAACAAAAAACAAATCAAACTTGAATTTCAAAGAATTGAAATAAAAAATATGCTCTCTGACCATAATGGAATTAAACCTGAAATCAATACCCAAAAAGATAATAATGAAATCTCCAATCATTTAGAAATTAAACACACTTCTAAATAATCCATGGATCAAAGAAAATGTCTCTAAGGAAATTAGAAAATATTTTGAATTTACCAACAATGAAAAGACAATATATCAGACTTTGTGGGCTGCAGAAAGAGCAGTACTGAGAGGAAATGTATAGCATTAAATGTTATTTTAGAACAGAAGAAATGTCTTAAACCCATAATCTGAGATTCCAATGTAAGAAACTAGAAAAAGAGCAAAATAAATCAGAATAAAGCAGAAGGAAGGAATAACAAAGATCAAAGGATAAATCAATGAAATTGACAACCAAAAAATGAAATCAAAAGCTAGTTTGAAAGATCAGCGCAACTGATAAACCTCTAGCACGATTGACAAAGAAAAAAGACACAAATAACCAATAGCAGGCAAAAAAGGGGATATCACTACAAACCTGTGAGGCATTATTAAAAAGATAATAAGGAAATACTACGAATAACTCTACACACATAAATTTGACAACTTAGATGAAAAGGATCAATTCCTTGGAAGCCACAAGCTAACAGACCTCACCAAAATTAAATAAGGCACCCAAGTGACCTTATAATTATTAAGGAATGTTTAAAAACTTCGGAAAAAGAAATCTCTGGGTCCAAATAGTTTCACTGATGAATTTTGCCAAATGTTTAAAGAATAATAAAAATTATACATTATCTTTTTTTTTCTTTTTGAGAAGGAGTCTTGCTCTGTCACCCAGACTGGAGTGCAGTGGCGCAATCTCGGCTCACTGCAAGCTCCGCCTCCCGTGTTCACGCCATTCTCCTGCCTCAGCATCCCGAGTAGCTGGGACTACAGGCGCCCGCCACCACGCCTGGCCAATTTTTTGTATTTTTAGTAGAGACGGGGTTTCACTGTGTTAGCCAGGATGGTCTCGATCCGCCCACCTCGGCCTCCCAAAGTGCTGGGATTACAGGTGTGAGCCACGGTGCCCGGCCTATACATTATCTTTTCCAGATAGTAGAAGAGGGAATACTTTCCAGTTCATTTTATAAGGCCAGAATTACCCTGATGTCAACCACAGACAAAAGATAGTAGATGCAAAAATCCTCAACAAAATATTAGAAAATGGAATTCAGCAACATATAAAAGTAATAATATATCATGACCAAGGGAGGTTTATCTCAGGAATGCAAGAATTGATCATATTAACAGTCTAAAGAAGGAAAACCACATAATCACATTAATAAATGCAGAAAAGTAAATGAGAAGGGAATTTCCTCAATTTGAGAAAGGCCATCCACAAAAATACATATAACTAATATATTTCATAATAAAAGACTGCATGCTTTTCTCTTGAGATTGGGAACAAGACAAGGCTATCTACTCTTACTATTTCCATTCAACATAATAGTGGCAATCTTAGCCAGTGTAATAATGCAAGAAAAAGAAAAACATATGAATTGGAAAGAAAGAAAGAGAACTGTCTCTATTCATAGAAGACATGATTATATATCCAAAGAATCTCAGATAAGCTACAGAAATACTCTTAGAACCAATTAGTGAGGTTAGCAAACTCATCAGATACAAAGTCAACCTATAAACGCCAATCACACTTCTATGAACAAGCAATGATCAACTGGAAACAAATCCAAAAAATAATAATAAGGCTGGGTGTGGTGGCTCATGCCTGTAATTCCAGCACTTTGGGAGGCTGAGGTGTGTGGACTGCTTGAGTACAGGAGTTTGAGGCTGCAGTGAGCTATGATCGTGCCACTTCACTCTAGCCTGGCCCATAGAGCAAGACCCTGTCTCAAATAATAATAATAATAACATTTACAATAGCTCCAAAAAGTGAAATACTTGGATATAAATCTAACAAAACAAGTACAAGATCTGTATGCTGAAACCTACAAAACACTGATGACAAAAATTGAAGAAGGCCTAAATAACAGGAGACACATGCCCTGTTCATGGATAAGACTCAGAATAGTAAAGATGTCAATTATCTCCAAAAGCAAAACCCCCAAAAACCAACCAAACAAATGAATGAAAACATGACCATAGTGGCACGCACCTGCAGTCTCAGCCCAGCTACTTGGGAGACTGAGGTGCGAGGGTTGCTTGAGTCTGGGAGGTAGAGGCAGCAGTAAGCCATGATCGCGCCCCTGCACTCCGACCTGGGCGACAGAGTACATCCTGTCAAAAAAAAAAAAAAAAAAAAAAAGCGATTCACGATTCCAGTTAAAACATTGTAGCTGGATTTCTTTTGTAGATATTGTCAAGCTGATTTGAAAATTTATATGGAAGGTCAAAGGAATTAAAATAGCCAAAGCTATTTTGAAAAAGAGCAAAGTTAGAGAAATCATACTACCTAATTTTAAGACTAATTTACACTGACAGAAAGCAGATCAGTGGTTTCCTGGGGGCGGGGAACAGGCAGGCAGAGGGGCTGAAGGAAAGGATTACGACGGGACAAGGAAAGTTTTGGAGTAGTAGATAGATTCATTATCTTGTTTGTGGTGTTGGTTTCATGAATGTATATTTGTGACAAATTTGTCAAATTGTACACTTTAAATATGTACAGGCCAATTATAACTCAATAAAGCTATTTTTGAAATGTCTTTCCAAAGAGACATATTACTTTTACATCCAGTAGGTGGCAGCTGGAACCATGGATTTTGACAGTATGTTTGCGTCTTATCCTCCAGCCGTATTTTAGTTTGTAAAATAACATATAGGAAGTGTAATATCTATGTAGGTTAGTTAGCATTTTGGTATATTTTATAAGATTGTGATGAAAATAAAAGGGAACATAATAGGTCATTACCAGATTATTATTTATTGTTCCTTGAAGCTTTAATATAGTTAAGTATGAAATGCAGAATCAAGAAGAGATATGTACCCACCCACCCTGGCAATTTACAAAGAATCAAGAGGCTGATTGACAGTTGAATGATTCTTTGCTCTTCTATAGTACCTTTTACAGAAAGCCTTATAAGTGTGTTATCAAAGCCACCTGTCACTCCTTGTTAAAAACGCTCTGCCTTTTAAAAGTTGTAAATTAAAACTTAACCCTGTTAATAATATCATTGCCTCATTTTTCTTTCTAACTAGATTGAAATTTCAGCCCCAGAATTCTCTAGTTGTCTTCAGAGCTCCCTCTGGCAGGAAAGAAGACCTATCCTCATCCTGCATAGGAGTAGGGAGCAATTCCTTTGACCCCCAGACCAGTTATCTGTTGAAAAAGAAAAGAGAGAATCTCAGGCGAAAGGTAATTCACAAGTATTCTTCAAAAGCATTTTTATGATTTGTAATAATATACTTAGTCACCTATTATCTTTGTTTTATTTCCTATCATAAAAAGGAATTACCTGACTGGATATTTATGGTCCAACCCAATTATTCATGTAGTTTATAATTCAACTAGCAATCTTTTACGACTAACTTAGATTTAAAACTGAATTAGTTCTATCATCTGCCGCCTGCTAAGAAAGGAGTTTCTACATTATGTATTTCTTTTCAGCTCAAAAGCTCTACGATTTTTATCAGTGTTTATTCTACTGCTAAAAGATGTTAAAAATCTGAAAAATCGGCCGGGCGCGGTGGCTCAAGCCTGTAATCCCAGCACTTTGGGAGGCCGAGACGGGCGGATCACGAGGTCAGGAGATCGAGACCATCCTGGCTAACCCGGTGAAACCCCGTCTCTACTAAAAAATACAAAAACACTAGCCAGGCGAGGTGGCGGGCGCCTGTAGTCCCAGCTACTCTGGAGGCTGAGACAGGAGAATGGCGTGAACCCGGGAGGCAGAGCTTGCAGTGAGCTGAGATCCGGCCACTGCACTCCAGCCTGGGCAACAAAAAAAAAAAAAAAAAAAAAAAAATCTGAAAAATCCTTAAGACATCAAAACAATCAACTGATCTTCTAGGCATGATGTAAATATTGGTTTTCCAAGTTCATTCTACTGATTTGAAGAATTTCAATAAACAGGAAGTAAAAAAATTTAATGTACAAAGTAGGCTAAACACATCATCTTGGAATTCGGATAACTTACTCTCTAGAAAATCGAAATAAAATGTTTTTCAGTCTAGCATGATGAGCTTAACATACTAAATAGGATTATGCTTTAGAAGTATGCAAAAATACCAATCACTCAGTTACTTACAGGGGATCCCCCCAACCCCCAAAATCAAAGAAATAGTCATATCACCTTGAAAATTCCACCAGCTTCAGGCTGCCTCAAAAGGCCCTCGGGGTCCATCCCATCCCGGGCACAGGTCACATACATTTCAGAGTAATTCTTCCCTCCAAAGCAGCATGAAGTTGTTTTATCAACAGGCAGCTTCACAGTTTGAAGTCTTTTCCCTAGACCACCAAGTATTTTATTTAAAGTTTAGTTGCAGCAATTTCCAACCTGTGTATTGTTTCTAGGGAAGATCTAAGAAGACTGGGGAGGTCAGGATTCATCTGTGCATTTAATATTTAATCTACTTTCCCTGACAATTTATTTTGAGCAAAAAGATGCACTTCTACAGGAAAAGAAATTCTGACTAACTTTCGGGCTATATCTCTGCTTGGCCATGACAAGGATTTTTCATTTTGCTGTGGGCCTACCTGTCACAGGATCTAAACGAATCACTCTTCCTCCGTTGTAACAGGCCACCCAGAGCTTCCCCTCAGCATCAATACACATTCCATCTGGGATTTGTTCTTCTTTTTCGAGCTTGTAAACACTTCTGCGGTTGGCTATGGTTAAAAGGCAAAAACAAAAACAGAACCACAACAAAACAACAGGCCACTAAATACTGAGAATCAAACAGGGAGCTCTCAAGCTGGTTATAAATACTGATCACTTCAGCTTATCCAGTGTCTGGCATGTGAACAAAGGATTTTTACCACATGATTGGGATGGATTCATTGTCTTTTGTTTGGGTACAGGCATCTGTTTAAGCATTCAGAGAAAAAAGAAAGCAGAATTCTTACTAAAATGCCAATAATAGTTCTTTTTGAAGCTGACCTGAATTGGGGCCCTGCATGTCTATGTCAAGTACATGTCAGCTTGTGGTTAGACCTTTGCTGTTTCAGTTACAAAACTCTTGAGATCCACAAGGCAACTTAATGGTATCACGTGAACAGTTCATGCACAAAAACTAGCAAGATGTATGAGTTCTTTTTCTGCCTAACTGAGTGCTCCAAAATCAAGACTAAATATTAGAAGAGCCTGTTTCTGGCAGGAGGGGCACGCAGAAACCACCTAGGTGCCCTTAAGCGGGGGTAACTGTGGTATACAAAAAACAAATATCAAAATCCAGAACTTTATGCTACAAAGTCCAGGTCACTACAGTCATCAGATTGAGGTATAATGGAAAAATGTTAAAACCACGTATAATGACAATGGGTACAAACAGTCATAAAAAAGAGCACTACATCCTTCTTTCTTTTCCTTCCTTCCTTCCTTCCTTCCTTCCTTCCTTCCTTCCTTCCTTCCTTCCTTCCTTCCTTCCTTCCTTCTTTCCTTCCTTCCTTCCTTTCTTCCTCTCTTTCTTCCTTCTCTCTCTCTCTCTCTTTCTTTCTTTCTTTCTTTTTCTTTCTTGATGGAGTCTTGCTCTGTTGCCAGGCAGGAGTACAGTGGCGCGATCTTGGCTCACTGCAACCCCTGCCTCCCGGGTTCAAGCGATTCTCCTGCCTCAGCCTCCCAAGCACTACATATTTCAAAGCAAAACATCTGCACCAGAATAGTTTGCCTCTGATTAAATCTGCATGCAGAGTTCTGGGGATATTTTTTCGAAGTCATTTTTATTATTAGTGTTGCTCTTTTGTTTCATAAAAGGTTTGGCACCTTTCATGAAACAGTTTCAAGGACTCCCTTCTAGATTCTAAATAATTCCTTCCCTCCCATTTTCCAACTATGGCTCCTTTCAAGCATATTGATGGAGTTGGACAACGTGCAATTACTTTTTTTTTTTTGCATTTCCATTTTGAAAGGTTGGTAATTAGCTTCTGAGTACTTGCCTATGGTTAACTAAAGTACAAACAAGAAATAGCAATCAAAAACCTCAAGGTTTCTGTTCTTTTGCGCCAATATTCCGTTAAGTATTATCTGCCTTTAGGCACCTCCTGGTAGAATAGGATCCCTTTTGCAGTGAGCCTCTTTCTGGTGATGATGGCAAGGAAGAGGATTGAGAATCTATATTTGTATTAATTATTTTTTATTAGCTTCCCCAGATCTATCCACATTATGCCAAACTCTTGCCATATTTAAATATGTTGAGGGCCATGATTTGACTGGCAGCACAGTCAAGTCTGTGCTATCGTTACTGTATTGGAATAGTAGCATCAGAAAGCTCTCCATTTAAGTAAGGACCTCTTCACATGAGGCGAGGGAGAGGCGCCTTACTAGTCACAAACACGTGAAAACAATACTGGCAGCACTGAGACAAATAATGAAAAATACATACAGATCTGTCCTGTCTGCAGGTCATAGTCAAAGGCATCCACGGAGTAGGACAGGCTGTCAATGTAATAGAAGATTTTGTGGTCTAGCGACCAATCCAAACCATTGGAGATGTCCACCTGGTCAAAGTACTTTTTCACGTGGTGGTCAGGAAAGAGGGAGTACAGGGATCCCTGGTGCCGCTCAAGAACTGCCGGAGCTGTTTCCTCAGCCATGGTGCCTATGAAAACCAAAGAGCACTCAGCTCTGCCCCAGAGCATCTTGCCCCATGCACGACACCATCCTTTCTCACCAGGGATCCTTTCCAGTGATTAAATCAAAGGAAATCATTATATAATTCCAATTTGGGCCCTATATATATATATACATTTTTAAAAAATGACAATTACCTTGCATATAATGCAAATTAAAACTGTGCCTAGAGGTGCTGGTTCAAAACAAGAAGGAGTAAACATGCACGAACCTCATTTTCTCCCACTGAGCACAGCTATAAAACCTGGATAAAATACATGGCACAGCCATCTTAGAACTCTGAAAAGCAAATACTAGCAGGTAGCTCAGGGAAGAACAGCAGACGTGGAAGTACCATGGAATTGATGGTGAGCTCTTCATTTTCTTCTCTGGTATCTGCCAGCCTGAACTCAACGCACCCTGAAATCTGGAAATGTGCACTGTGGTGCAGACAGAGATCCAAGAGAAACCCCCTAGATCTGGTTCAAGGAGCAGAAAAGGAAACTCCTGAAGCTCAGAGAGAGTGGAGAAAATCCCTAGGTTATTTTCCACTCCTTTTTCTCCATTCTCTCATGCACCAGTCCCCAGACAAGTCTGCAGCAGGGGTAGCAATGGCAGAGAGAATGGCCAGCAGCAGGAAACTGTAGGAATGCAAACTCCAAGGGAAGGAGACGTTCATCTCCATTGGGTGAAGTTGCAGCCCCAAAAGGGTGACGCCAAATACTGTTGCTTTTATATTATCTTTCTCTGTCCTCGCTGCTTGGTCCCAGATGCAGCACAGTCATAGAAATGGGTGGTTTCTGGCTGGTGGAATGAAAAGGAGAGGTCCAGGAAACTGGAAATGACTGAGAAATAGTGAAGGGGCAATTGCTCAGGAACGCAATCCCGTTAAGCTGTTTACCATCTCCTAGGCTCACCCCAACTTGGACTTATACATGCATGAATTGGATTCGAATTAGCCTACTGAAGACATTGAGAGCAGAGCTGATAGAACTCCTTCTGGGTCCCAGACTGACCACTGGGTGGCACACGTGTGAGACAGATCCTAATAACATCTAATAAAAAACAGGTTGGAACTTGTGACCTGAACCTACACATATACATTGCCTGCTAAGACAACTATAACAACATTCTTCAAAGGATTTCTTCTTCCTCTTCCTCCTCCTCCTCTTCCTCTTCCTCCTCCTCCTTCTCTTCTTCCTCCTCCTCCTCTTCTTCCTTCTTCCTTCTTTCTTCTTTCTTCTTCTTCTTCTTCGATACGTCATCCAGGCTGGAGTGTTGTGGCACGATCATGGCTCACTGCAGTCTCAATCTCCCAGGCTCAGGCGATTCTCCTACCTCAGCCTCCTGAGTGGCTGGGGCTACAGGCACATACCACCACGCCAGGCTAGGTTTGTTTGTTTGGTTTTGGTTTTGTTTTTGTATTTTGAGTAGAGACGGGGTTTTGCCATGTTGCCCAGGCTGGTCTCAAACTCCTAGACTCACTCTGGTTGCCCAGGCTGGAGTGCAGTGATGCGGTCTCGGCTCATGCAGCCTCGACCTCCTCTAGGCTCAGGTGATTCTCCTACCTCAGCCTCCCCAGTAGCTCAAGCAACTCAAGCAATCCACCTGCCTTGGCCTCCAAAGTGCTGGGGTCACAGGCATGAGCTGCCATGCCAAACCCCCTCCTTCTCCTTCTCCTTCGCCTTCGCCTTCTCCTTCTGCTTCTTCTTTTTTTTCTTCTTTTTTTTTGTTTGTTTGTTGTTTTTTTTTTTTGAGGCAGAGTCTTCACTCTGTCGCCCAGGCTGGAGTGCAGTGGCACCATCTCGGCTCACTGCAAGCTCCGCCTCCCGGGTTCGCGCCATTCTCCTGCCTCAGTCTCCCGAGTAGCTGGGACTACAGGCGCCTGCCACCGCGCCCGGCTAATTTTTTGTATTTTAGTAGAGACGGGATTTCACCGTGTTATCCAGGATGGTCTCGATCTCCTGACCTCGTGATCCGCCCGCCTCGGCCTCCCAAAGTGCAGGGATTACAGGCGTGAGCCACCGCGCCCGGCCGTTTGTTTGTTTTTTAGCAGAGTCTTGCTATCACAGCTCACTGCAGCCTCAACCTCCCGGACTCAAGCGTTCCTCCCACCTCAGCCTCTGAGCAGCTGGGTCTGTGGGGGTAAGCCACCATGCCTGGCTCATTTGTTTTATTTTTTATTTTTGTAGAGACGAGATTTCACTGTGTTGCCCAGGCTGGTCTCAAACTCCTGAGCTCAAGTGATCTACCTGCCTCAGCCTCCCAAAGTGCTGGGATTACAGGCTTGAGCCACCGCGCCCGGTCAAAGGATTTCAATAGGACTCAGGGCCTCATAATATTCAAAATGTCTAGAACACAACCCCAGATTACTTGGCAACACAAAGAAACATGGAAATCTCGACTCACATAGGAAAAGAGAATCAACAGATGCCGAAAATGAGATGGCACAGATGCCAAAGAGACAATGTAGATGGGAAGCCTGAATAACAAGCAAGACAGGGTTGATCCTCCCTCCTTGGGGAGAAAGATGTTCCCTTGGCAGTTTCCTGCTCTAGGTCAGTTGGGTTTGTTTCATGGCTCTCCCTGCACAATATCTGCCTCACAGAAAAAGAGGCCTGGAACATGCACATGAATCTCCTGCTGCTTGGAAAGCCTCTTCCTTGGTGGACAGAATAATCTAGAGCCTCAGCTTCATTATCTAGTAACAAGCATAGACAGGTCAGATCTTGGGTGTGGTGATATCTTCAGGGTGCGATCACCTTGAGAATCCATCTAGACTATAAGATGACCCCACCTTTTTCTGGGCCTGGGGCACCTCGGAGTAACCTATTAGGTATATACTACTGTACTAGTGTTAGGCATCTGCAAGAATACTATAGTATTATAACATAATTATATATAATATAATATATAAATATAATATATAATATTATATATAGTTGTATTATATATTATATAATGCAATTATATAATAATATATAATTATATTAATATAATATAATTATATGTACTTATATAATTATACTATATTATAATATATAAATTAAAATTATATATTATAATATATAAAGTAAAACTATATATTATTATAAGTATAATATTATAGTATTAGTATTAGTGCTATAGAATATTATAGTAATACCTAATAGTTACACCCACAATGACACCTACAATTTTAAGAGGTCTCTTGATGGCCCAGAGACTCCATGCTAAGAATGCAGGCCTTGGAGGCCATCTTTATTTTTGTCCCACAAAGTGCCTCAGAACTGTAAACTTTTTAAAAAAAATATGGAGCTCTTCATGCATTTGCGTGTCATCCTTGTGCAGGGGCCATGCTAATCTTCTCTGTATTGTTCCAATTTTAGTAGATATGCTGCTGAAGCGAGCGCAGAACTGTCAACTTCTACTCAAAAGAGGGAAAGAAAATCAATTTCACCAGGAGGCGAAATATCCAATCATGTATCTTTATCCTGCAGAAATTACTGCAGAAGGGCTTCCAACAGATCCTCATCTTTAATCTTTCAACCTGTCCCTGACCATATCTGTGGTTGTATAAAGCCCAGGAAGATGGGAAGCAGTCTACAGTCAGCTGCTCTGACCTCTCCTGCCTTCCAGGTTGAACATGCACAGGGCCAGGACAGCAGGGCCAACAATATGAGGCGGCAGTGTGGGAAGGTGGGAATAGCAGAGATGGAGAATCAACTTTGGCTAACTTAGAAGGTTATTATGATGAGAAATATATGTGAAATGCATTATCTAATTTAAAACGGTAGATAAAATTCTTTTAAACCTGCATATAAGTCATTCTGCAACCATCATAGTAAACTTTGGTTCAAGAAAGAATCATCAACGAATGCAAAACTTAAGGGAGAAATTTCGATGAGGACCAGGATATTTGTGTGGACTTAGAGTATCTCCCCATGTTGTAGCCAGCCTCCAAGATAGCGCCTAATGATTCCCACCTTTCAGCATTCTCACCCTTGGATAGTTCCCTCTGTCATTGTCTGTGTGACCAAATAGCATATGGCAGAAGTGATGGTATGTCACTTCCAATTGGCTAAAGACTGTAGCTTCCATCTTGGATCTTGGGTGCATGCGTTTTCTCTCTCTCTCCTCTCTCTCTCTCTCTCTCCTCTTATCACTAGTTCTAGGGGCATCCATGTCCTGAGCAGCCCTATGGAGAGACCCACCAGCTAAGGAGCTGAGGCCTCCTGCCAACCCCTATGTGAATGAGCTTAGAAGTGGATCCTTCAGGCCTCTTCAGAGAATCCAGCCTTTTCCAAGGCTGCAGCCCCTGCGGAAAGCTTGACTGCAGTCTTATGAGATAGCCTGAACTGAATCCATCCAGCTAAGCTGCACCCAGATTCTTGACCTTCAGAAACCATCTGAGATAATAAATATTTCTTATTTTAAGCCTCTAAGTTTCAGCGTAATTTGTTATCCAGCAATAGATAACAACCCCCACAAATTGTTTATAAATTGCAATTAAAAATAGTTATGCAGTAGAGAAATCTGACAGAGGCTTAACCTGGTGATCAAAATCACCAACGAGGGGACACATGGACATCGTGTACCTCCAGATGGGTTACCCTGAGAACAGAACATTATCTATGCAGTATTCCCGTCAGGAATGTATAACATCAACTTGATCACAAACACCAGACAGATACTAAATAAGGAATGCCCTGTTAAAAAAGGGGGGAGTTGGGTAGGGCTGGCTATATTCTTCAAAAATGGCAATGTTATAAAAAACAACAACAAAAAAAGCCATGAAAATGTTCCAGTTTTAAAAAAGATCAAAGAGATATGAAAAGGAAATGCAATCCATGATCCTAGACTGTATCCTGTGCTGGAGGGAAAAAACGTGAGAAAGAACACTTTTTGCACAATTGACAAAACTGGGATTTAAATAGTATATCAGATAAAATGACTATATCAATGCTAAACTTTTTTAAGTTGATCACTCTAACTGTGGTCATGTAAGAATATGTCATCTTTCTTGGGAAATTCACACTGCAGCATTTTAGGGGTAAAGGCACATAGGATATACATGCAACCTACTCTCACATGATTCTGGAGATAGGCCGGGCGCAGTGGCTCACACCTGTAATCCCAGCACTTGGGAGGATGAGGTGTGAGGATCACTTGAGCTCAGGAGTTCAAGACCAGCCTGGGCAACAGAGTGAGATCTCATCTCTATTTTTTTTTTTAAATAAAGGACTCCAGAGATAAATATGTTTAGATATATACAGACAGCGAATGATAAACCAAATGGAACAAAATGTTAGCAATAGGTGAACCTGAGTAAAAGGTATACAATACAAGTGTTGTTTGTACTATTCTTTTTTTTTTGAGATGGAGCCTCTCTCTATTGCCCAGGCCGGAGTGCAATGGCGTGACCTCGGCTCACTGCAAGCTCTGCCTCTCAGGTGCACGGCATTCTCCTGCCTCAGCCTCCCCAGTAGCTGGGACTACAGGTGCCCACCACCACGCCTGGCTAATTTTTTTATTTTTAGTACAGACAGGGTTTCACCTTGTTAGCCAGGATGGTCTGAATCTCCTGACCTCATGATCTGCCCGCCTCGGCCTTCCCAAAGTGCTGGGATTACAGGCGTGAGCCACCACGCCCGGCCTGTACTATTCTTATTTTTTTCTGTAAATTTGAAAATATTTCTGATTTAAACATCAACAACAAAACCCCTGTATTTAAAACTCACTTAAACCACCAAAATACCATACAGATTTTAGTCTCTGCTAGAGACGGAAATACAAATGAAGATTTTATCATAGGATTTTGTGTGTGTGTGTGTGCTACAAGTTACTCAGGCAATAATAAAAGAAGAACCCAAGATTCATTATAAATAACACTTTTGAGGTAGTGAGAACTTACTTACTTTCTTACTTTCTTTTTCTTTCTTTCTTTCTCCTTTCTTTTTCTTCTTTCTTTCTTTTTCTTTCTTTCTTTCTTTTTTCTTCTCTTTCTTCCCTCCCTCCCTCCCTCCCTCCCTTCCCTCCCTCCCTTCCTTCTTTCCTTCCTTCCTTCTTTCTTTTCTTTCGAGACTCTATCACCCAGGTTGGAGTGCAGTGGCACGATCTTGGCTCACTGCAGCCTCAAACTACTGGGCTCAGATGATCCTTCCAGCTCAGCCTCCTGAGTAGCTGGGACCACAGGTGCACGCCACCACACCCAGCTAATTTTTTGTAACTTTGGTAGAGACAGGATTTCACCATGTTGCCCAGGCTGGTCTCGAACTCCTGGGCTCATGCGATCCACTCGCCTTGGCTCCCAAAGTGCTGGGATTACAGGCGTGAGCCACCACCCTGGCCAGTAGTGAGAACTTTGTATGTCAAAGTATTTCCTCCAAGGCTCAGTAAGTAGGTGTTAAGAGAAATCTTACCAGCAAAGTACCTCCCGGCGGGATCCACCTTCCCATCATTGAAGCGATTGTTTTTCTTGTCGTTATCCACTGTGGCCAAGACAACTGCTGATTGTTCTTCCCAGTTCAAAGCACAGAACTTTGTTCCAATGGTGGCAACATAGCCTCCCGACTGGCGAAGGGCCACAGAGCTGACTGGGGCATCTGTAGAGGCAAAGCAACAGTTAAAAAGCAGTACCAGTTTAGTGGCTGAGGCCACTGAGGTCACTGTGCTACCTGGCATCGCTTAGAGTGGGAGCCCAGCTCTCGTGACAATGGGAGCGCTCTCTTCCTTCTGTTGAGTAGGGAAGGCTATGTAACCTAGTACATTTGTTGAGTATGAATTATGTGTGCTGATCTGGGCAGCAATAGATAGAAATCGTGATAAAACCTAATGTCCTTGGAAGCTCCCAGTCTAGTGGGAGAAGCAGAGAAGTGAAAGGCACCAGTGGCATGATATGGAGCAAAGTGCCACATCCAGTTCAGAGGCAGGGTTTCTAATCTAGGGCCACTGGGACAGTCATCACAGAGCAAATGATACCCCATTTTTGCAAAAAATGCTCCAGAAATTCACAGACACAAACTGAGTTTAGTTATAGTCAACTTAGGGTTTGTGACATCCTCTCTGCTCTCCGATACAGGATTTGCCTTTTTTTTTTTTTTTTTTTTGACAGAGTTTTGTTCTTGTTGCCCAGGCTGGAGTGGCAGTGGTGCAATCTCAGGCTCACTGCAACCTCTGCTCCTGGGTTCAAGCAATTCTCCTGCCTCAGCCTCCTGAGTAGCTGGGATTACAGGCATGTGCCACCACGCCTGGCTAAATTTTATTTGTATTTTTAGCAGATGGTTTCACCATGTTGGCCAGGCTGATTTCGAACTCCTGACCTCAGGTTATCCACCCGCCTTGGCCTCCCAAAGTATTGGGATATTAGGCATGAGCCACCGCACCTGACCCAGGATTTGTCTTTTCTAAGGGGCCCTATTTTATATGTATTTAATTGCAAATTGTTTCTCAGATCCTTTTTTGGAAGTAACCACGGTAAAAAATAATAAACAGATAGAAATGTAGATGCAGAGATAGTATAATCACATCTCTTCATTATATTACTATATTTTATGTTTTTAAATTTTAGGTTTTCTTTGTTTAATATTTTTCCATGTATAAGAAAACTTTTTTTTTGTTTTTGTTTTTTTTGAAATGGAGTCTTGCTCTGTTGCCCAGGCTGGAGCGCAGTGTCATGATCTTGACTCACTGCAACCTCCGCCTCCTGGGTTCAAGGGATTCTCCTGCCTCAGCCTTCCAAGTAGCTGGGATTACAGGCTGTGCTACCATGCCTGGCTAATGTTTGTATTTTTAGTAGAGACAGGGTTTCACCATGATGGTCAGGCTGGTCTTGAACTCCCGGCCTCAAGTGATCCACCCATCTCAGCCTCCCAAAAGTGTTGAGATTACAGGCATGAGCTACTGCACCCGGCCAAGAATTTTTTTTTTTTTAAGTGGAGAGATTGACTGCTGCGGTGAAATAAATTTATCAGAATTGATTTTGAAAACATTTCCTAAGCACCCATTCAGTGTAAGATAATGGGAGCTTCAGGAGCCACCCTTAGCTCAAAGCCCTGCTCACACTTTGATTGGAGTCATCAAGGGTCCCAGGGAATGTGTAGGACAACTCTCATCGGGGATCCCAACCTACAGCCTGAGACTTCTCTTGGTAGCTCTCTAAGCTACTGCTGACACCACAGCTTTTTCCATGGGTTGGGGGTGGGGGGCGGGGGGGGAGGCGCTTTTCAGATCACAGATTGGCACGTGTGTCTGCTGCAAAAGAGACTAGAAAAGGCAAGGGGAACCCATCCCCATTCTACCCTCAGAGGTCACAGTCACTTTACCACAGTCATACTTCTGGGTGAATTAAAAAGTTGTTCCCGGGGCCGGGCGCGGTGGCTCACGCCTGTAATCCCAGCACTTTGGGAGGCCGAGGCGGGCGGATCACGAGGTCAGGAGATTGAGACCATCCTGGCTAACACGGTGAAACCCCGTCTCTATTAAAAATACGAAAAATTAGCTGGGCGTGGTGGTGGCGCCTGTAGTCCCAGCTACTCGGGAGGCTGAGGCAGGAGAATGGCGTGAACCCGCGAAGCGGAGCTTGCAGTGAGTGGAGATTGCACCACTGCACTCCAGCCTGGGCGGCAGAGCGAGACTCCGTCTCAAAAAAAACAAAGTTGTTCCCTTTCATTTAAAAATAAAGAAGTTTAAAGCGGGCCGTGGTGGCTCATGCCTGTAATCTCCGCACTTTGGGAGGTCAAGGCAGGATAATTGCTTGAGCCCGGGAGTTCAAGATCAGCCTGGGCAATATAGGGAGACCCTGTCTCTACAAAAAATAAAAATAAAATTAGCTAGGTGTGGTGGCACACGCCTGTGGTTCCAGCTACTCAGGAGGCTAAGGTGGGAGGATTGCTTGAGCCTGGGAGATTGAGGCTGTAGTGAGCCATGTTTGCATTATTGCACTCCAGCCTGGATGGCAGAGCCAGACCTTGTCTAAAAAAATGAAAAAAGTTGAGGTCCCAGTTCCGGATTGAGAAAGAATGTCCCAAGATTATAGGAATTCCTGATATTTTTTCCCATGGGCTCAGTGAAAACAAGAAACTTTTTTCTCTATCGGTAATTACATCAAGCCCATTCCCTTGGGCCATAGGAAGTGATAAATTCCTTCTTTAGAATTCACAGGGCCATAAACGCATCACACTCAAATTCACATGAAATTCCATCATGAATCCTATTTTGTGCAGTGAGCAAAGATGGTCCTGGTTAACTCTTTATACATCCAAAAGCTAGTTTTCACTTTCAAAGAAGGGAGGCACCTGTTTTTGTTTTGTTTTGTTTTGTTTTGAAAATTAAGGTCTTGGCCTGACCCAAGGCAGATAGCTGCGTCTTTAACTTTCCATGGTTATCTGACGGTATTAAGGAAAGACAGAAACTAGAGTAACCCAGCATCCAAACAAAACTGGGAATGGGCTGGGCGTGGTGGCTCATGTCTGTAATCCCAACGCTTTGGGAGGTTGAGGTGGGTGGATCTCTTGAGCCCAGGAATTTGAGACCAGCCTGGGCAACATGGTGAAACACCACCTCTACAAAAAATACAAACTAGCTGGACGTAGTGGCACACATCTGTAGTCACAGCTACTAGGGAGGCTGAGGCAGGAGGATCCCTTGAGCCCCAGGAGATCAAGGCTGCAGTGAGCCGTGATCACACCATGGCACTCCAGCCAGGGCAACATGGTGAGACCCTGTCTCAAAACAAACAAACAAACAAACAAAAAAACAAACAACCCCCCTCCCCCCCAAAAAAACTAGGAATGTTGTCCCTCATTCAAAGAGGAAGAGGACAGCATTGACCATCCATAATTAAACCCTGGGTCAGAGTGGAAGGATATGGAGTGGGGACAGACAACATGACAAGTGTATTCAGTGTGCTTTGACAAGAAGGGTGCCGTGGTGACCACCCCTCCCCTGGGAAAAGGTAGCTGGCTGATCTGAGCCCAGCCTTCATCCTTACCCATGGTCACTCGCTGTACTTGCTTGGTGAGTGAATCCCACCGGCAAAGCTTTTTTGCAGGAATGTCTACGAAGAGCAAAGAGTCGGATGCTTCCTCCCATACTGGAGACTCACCGCACCGGCAGTTCTCCGGCAAAACACACTCAATCTTAATGGAAGACATGGTCGCGGGGGAGATCTATTGAAGGTAACAGAGGTGAGTGAAAGGTCATCGCACAGAACAAATATAGTAAAACACCTGGCTAAGAACTGGCAAGGCTGGATACACTTCCCCCAGATCAGAGGAGGATATGCAATGTGACAGGGAGAGACACATGTAGGCAAAAGAAAAGAGCTGATAACAGAGACCATGAAACATCTTCAACCAACTTACCAGTGACGTGCTTCTCAAATGATCTTTCAAAAAGAGAACAAAAAAGCGACACCCTGACCTCCACTCCTTGGTGTTTGTGATCCTCAGAGAACTGGCTGTTGAAATAGTGCAAGGCCGCCCTTTATGTCAATACCCCGGGCCCCAGGGCAGGTCAGGGAGCCGGCAGTTTGTTCATTGGCGGCCCTTCTGGGTGTCTGCAGGGCACTTTCTGCTCCCCCCCTTCTGTTGATGCTGTTGAGCCCCTTCTTTGAGGGTGCAGAGGCCAGGGCCCTCCACACCTGCATTTTTCTGAGCTGTTTTACTGATTTATTTTTCTTCTCTGTGTGGTTGATTTTTATGAACTGCATTTTTAGGACTATGTTCACCCCAATGAGAACTCGCTGAATTCGAACTAACACGCATTTTCCAACGCAGACCATGGAAGGAGTGGAGAAAAGGACAGCATTGAACCACCCTGGCAGGAACTGACAGCCCTTCAGTGATTTCTTGCTTCCCAGGAAGACACCGTGCCAGTTTGGCAAGGAGTGTTGGACTCCACAGGAGAGGAACATTCTATGCTGGGACTTTAGGCCAGAGACCATGACCAGCGAACTGGGAGAAGACAGAAAAATTATCTGAAAAGGAGAAAAAATCAGATAAGAATCCCATGTGGGAGAGGAAAGACAGGCAACTTGCAAGAGCAATCTTTTCTTTCTGTACCTCTGCCCTGAGTAGGCGGTTTCCAGGAATGATCCACACTGCCTGCATTTGTCAGGCACAGGGGCTCAGGCCTGTAATCCCAGCTCTTTAGGAGGCTGAGGCAGGAAGATTGCTTGGACCCAGGAGTCTGGGACCGGTGTGGGCAACATAGTGAGACCCTGACTTTACAAAACAACAAAAAATTAGCGAGTGTAATGGCACATGCCTGTGGTCCTAGCTACTCGGAAGGCTGAGGTGGGAGGATCATTTGAGTCCGGGGGATGGAGGCTGCAGTGAGCCGTGATCATGCCACTGCACTCCAGCCTGGGCAACAGAGCAAGAATCTGTCTCTAAATAAATAAATAAAAATTGCCTGCATCTTCATCCTTCTCCCAGGGTAGCTATCTGCTTTGAAGTAAGTGATCCTACACATGGGTGGGCAAATGAATAGAGGGGGGAAAAAGAAAAATAATGTTTGATCTAATATTTCCTCCAATAAACTATATTTTAAAAAAGAAACACATGCTGGGCGTGGTGGCTCACGCCTGTAATCCCAGCACTTTGAGAGGCTGAGCCAGGTGGATCACGAGGTCAGGAGTTCAAGACCAGCCTGACCAACATGGTGAAACCGCATCTCTATTAAAAATACAAAAAAATTAGCCGGGCACGGTGGCGGATGTCTGTAATCCCAGCTACTCACAAGACTGAGGCAGGGGAATCGTTTGAACCCGGGAGGCAGAGGTTGCAGTGAGCCGAGATTGTGCCACTGGATTCTAGCCTGAGCGACAGGGTAAGACTCCTTCTCAAAAACAAACAAACAAACAAAAAACAAAAAAACCCAGAAAAACCAAAAAACCAAAACCAAAACAAACAAAAAACCCACAGCCCAAACCAGTCCCAAATACAAAGTGTCCGCATCTGCAGCAGCATTTGGAATGTTTTTTGGCTATTAAAAATGGGCTCAGGCCGGTGCCGGTGGCTCGTGCCTGTAATTCCAGCACTTTGGGAGGCTGAGGTGGGAGGATCATTGAGGTCAGGAGTTTGAGACCAGCCCAGGCAACATGCTGAAAGCCCCTCTCTACAAAAAATACAAAAAATTAGCCCGGCTTAGTGGTTCAAGCCTGTGGTACTAGCTACTAGGGAGGCTGAGGCTGGAGAATCGCTTGAACCTGGGAGGAGGAGGTTGCAGTGAGCCAAGATTGGGCCATGGCACTCCAGCCTGGGCGACAGACTGAGACCTTGTCTCAAAAAAAAAAAAAAAAAAAAAAAAAAAAGGGGGGGGGCGGGCAGTGTTCAGACTCCAAAGGCCTTCATCCTATCAGTCTTAGATAAGGCTCAAGATCAGAGGCAGGAGTTTTGCAATAGCGACTTTTAACCCCATGCTCCCTCATAGAAGTCAGTGGGGAGGGGACAGGGGAGCCAAATGTTCCATTTAGGTCCGGCCCGTGGCCACAAAAGGGGTGGCTGGGCAGCAGGGAGCGGGGACGGGGGCGTCAAGCGCCCGAGCTGCCCCCGGGGTACCTGTGCGGGTGAGAGGCCTCCACAACAGTCTGGTAGAGCCGCTGGGGCCTCGGGCGACGGTGACGGCGACAGTGACAGAGAGGCCCTGGGAATCTGAAGGTTGAGCCTGCCTCGTCCCTGGCGCAGGCTTTGCAGAGGGCGCACCAGCCAGCCCGGTTGAAAGGGCCCGGGTTCCCGGGTGGGCACAGGGCAGTCAGTCTCCTTCTGGCTGCCCCCGATCGGGAGATTGGGACGGGAGGAGCGGGTCTGGCTCTGTTGTCGCCGGGGCCTTTCCTTTCCAAGGAGGGGGCGGGGAGGCCGTCCTGGCTCGGCACTCGCCAGGCTGGAAACTTCTCAGGCGGCTCGAAGGTCAGGCAGCGGGCCGAGGAGAGGGGAAACGCCTCCCGGGACCCGGCGGCTTGGTAGGTGGATGGCACGGGCCTGGGACCCCGCCCCGTCCCCGTCCCTGTACCCCGCGGCTGGAAGAATCCTGCAAAGCCGCCCCTGGCAGGCACGGGGATGGTGGGTACAGGCTTACGGCCCAGTGAACCTGAGCTTTGGAGTTTGGACGAATAGCTAGTTTACCTCTTACTTCAACCAAAAAAAGTTGTTAAATGCCGAACAGAGAGAGACTGGGAGGGTTAAACCCAAACAGGTTAAAAAGGAAAGAACAAAGCTCCTCTCCATCCTAGTGGAGAAGACCCTGGCGGCTGAAGGCCAACTCTTGCAAAAACTTTTTTGGTGGGGGAAGAGGAAAGGCTCGATTTCATTTTCAAATCATATGGAAAACACATTCCTCAACGGCACGCAGCTCCACAACCCCATTCTCAGCCTAAATGTATTCCTGGTCCTGCCATCTGACGGTACAGGCTTTCTCTAAATAACCCACATTAAAAAAAAAAAAAAAGAGCCAGGATCAGCACAGTGGTTCAGGCCTGTAATCTCAGCACTTTGGGAGGCCGAGGTGGGTGGATCGCTTGAGCCCAGGAGTTTGGGATGAACCTGGCAACAAAGGGAGACTTCGTCTCTACTAAAATTCGAGGCTACAGGTGACGCCTGTGTTGTGCCACTGCACTGCCAGCCTGGGTGA